ACATGATTACGAACGAAGATTTCGCCGATGAACTGGCTACCCGTCCTGTTCTAGATTTTTATTTCAGTGTTATATGAATAGATAATGTACATTTTGTATCAAAACCTTATAAGGGCAACTCAGTACTACGATCCGCTTCCAAAAATAGATCCCACTAAATCACGTTCTCTAACTTAAGTGCCTGCGCCATATAAGTCGTAGTCAACCTGCTTGAACACTTACATGCGATGCCTTTCCGTGAAATGCATAATTATTCGTAAACAAATGGACATTATGTGTAATATTGACAATAAATTCATAAGTGGCAATAATTGTTCATTTATCGTCAAACTGCAGTACCCAAATAGAGTGAAATGTTAATGTGTTGTTGTTAATGTGTAAATGTGTTGACCTGCTCGGGCACGCTCGATCATTAAGGGCCCTCTACAGGGTCTTGGGTGCTTACTATTTGAATGGAGGGCCCTACGCTCTTGATGGGGACACTATATATCAACCTGCTCGGAAACACTCGATCACTCGGAGCCCTACACCATGTGTCATGAGCACTTCGTATCTGATGAGCGGGCTCCATCTATCAAGCTCTTGCATGCAGGGGGGGGGGGGGGCACGGGAGCAGCGTCTCGCTGGAACAATGCCGAGGGGATCTAAAGGCTCCGAAGGGGCCCATAACTGGCCGAACGGACGCAGTCCTGCAGACGGCCGCGGGACAACAAAAACAACAAAATTGACCCTACGGACGACCAAGAACAATTGCTAGTAAAAGTAAAGAGTTCATAAGCAGACGACGTTCATTCTTCGCTGATTGAGAAGCTGTGGGTTGGGGAAATTTTGGGGCTCATTGCGCTGTCCAAAGGCATTACGCTGTTGGTTGCCCTGGTTCCATATATTAACTTGCCGGGTCAATCTGATCGCTAAGGAGCTTTCAGCGTTGCCCTTCATCTCTTTGCATTCTCTTGGAGGGCCTAACGCTGCTGTTGGGACGCTATCTGCTTCCGCGCTTGGGCACTCTTGACCGATGCAGGTTTTCCTCCACGGATTCCCCACTCACCGAAAGGCTTATACGTTTTTTCCGGAGCCCCAAATGCCAGGGTGCGCTCAGTTGCTCCGGGGCCCTTCATATTAGCCTTGAGTTTTTCCACTTGCTTGGAGGGCCTTGTGCCATTGCCGGAGCTCCTATAAGGTAAGGCACCGAGACGCTCGATGCCCAGGGGCCCTCTACTTTGAATCCGATGGTCTCTTATCCCTTTGTATCCTTGTGGAGGACTCTTCACTCCTATCGAGGCTCGTGTTGTTAACCTGTTCGTGCACTCTTCATTCGCACAGGGCATTAATTTATGGTCTGGGTAGTTCCCCCTTGCTCTGAGGGTTCTGTGCTGCGGCCGGGGCCTTAGCAACCAAATCAGCCTGTAGGGCACTACCGATCGCTTAGGGCCCACCCACGTTAGTCTTGGGTCTTTTTTGCTGCTCTGATGACCCTATACCTGTGACGGGAGCCGCTTTATTGCCCCCTGCGGCACCCCATGATCGCCTCAGGTTCTGTCCTTTTTGCCCTTGGCGCCTTCGCCTCAAAACAGCAGTTGGATATGCCGCCGATGAATTTTTGCGCGTAATTGTTAAGTCAATTTTACGCGCCGCCGACATCGTATGTGTCATTATCATTGACTTTTGAGTGGGTGACACTTACTGTACTAGTGCATCATGTTCTTAACATATTTGAATGCTAGGATATTATGTAATACTTATAACAAAGGAATAATTCCGCACTATTCATCGGTCACCAGCTGACTACATCGCCCAGCCGGCTAGTCGTAAATAAGCTAAGAATCAAGTCCGTGCTTGGTTTCGATGGTTGTTAGAAGTCAACTCGAGTTAATTTTCTCTGTTGTTCCAAAACACTCAGCCTCAAATTACGTGACTTAATATGATCTGTAGAAAATAAATGAACTCTATGTGTATGCATACGTAGCATGCCTAGCTTTATAGGGCTGCGCGCAGTAAGATGGGTTTCTGTACTTATAACATGCATATATATATATATACATATATATTATACGTGTGCTACATGCCATTTTTCTTCAATGTAATGAACCGAACGCGAGGACATTTTTTAGGGAGGCGAACTGTAGGGGGGCCACAATGTTGCGTGCCCCCCCCCCCTTGCGAAATCCTATCCGCCCCTGACCAGTTGTTCTGAAACTGGTGACCTCAAGTCACAATCTCCACCTTCAAAAACCGCATACACCACTTCTGGGCATTGCAACCAAGTCCAAAGACGGCAACCGCTCAACAGATCTTGTCGAGACCCTTGCCAGAAGAAAGAGAATGTGCGATTTTATCAGCTTTTTAGAAACTGGTGATCTCAAGTAGCCATCTCCACTTTTAAAAGCTGCGTGCGCCACTTTAATGCACTGCACCCACGTTCAAGGTGAAAAACCGCTCGACCGATCCTCTCAAAACCTTATCGAGAGTAGAGCTAGACCTACTTAGAACTGACACGTAGGTCCAAGGCGGTTGCAGGAGGTCTTGCGGCACTTTGGACCCCAATTTGAAGTTGACATTGTTTGACCTTATTTGACCCGAAGATCATGACTAAAGAACACCACAAGCCAGCCTCAGTTTTGAGATCTCAGCGGTGGTCAAATTGGCCCACTATCCTATTGACAAGAAGGGTATTCAACCGAGCACTCGGTCGCGTACTGAAGAGAAAGATGGTGACAAGAGATCACCAGTTATATGCGGGCGATTAAATCGTGCATGCCCTACCTTCTGACAAGTTTTTGCGCAGATCAGTAGAGTAGTTTTCGATTTGGGACTTGACTGCAGTGCCCCAGAGTGGTTTACATGGTTGTTGAAGGTAAAGATGATGACCTCAGGTCACCAGCTTCGGAACGGTTGACGAAAATGTTTGTGCTCTTTCTTCTGGTAACGGTTCTGAAAGGATCTGTCGCGCGCTTTCCGTGTATGAACTTGGCTGCTATGCCCGAAGTGGTTTATACGGTTTTTGAAGGGAGGGACTAAACAGCCGACCAAGCCCGTTGTCGGCCTCATGTTCCAAGCCCGTGACACTGATCGCAACCAGAACTACCTCCCTTCGATGCCGCTTAGCCAAAAACCCATACTTTTCAGAACATGGTGATCTCAAGACGGGTCAAAGGTCACCAAAAACGCCCAAACCTACCAAAATTGGTTGCAGACAACATCACGCACCGGGCCTGTGGCACCAATCAGAACGAAATCGTTCTCAATCCATGCATCACTGTCGATTTTTGTATTTTGCAGAATACGGTGATCCTGAGTCAGGTCAAAGGTTAACATAAATACCGAAAACCGGAAAACATGGTTGGAGACAAACCCATGCGAGCCTGTGCGCCGTTCAGCAAGGAGCATTCATCAATCGATGTGCTACAGTCCATATCCTATCCTTTCCAGAATATGGTGAGCTTGGGTCAGGGGAAAG